AGACCTAACCTGGCTGAGGAGTGACATTTTTCAAAGTAAAGATTGGCAGTTCCCTGCCTGAGAAAATAGTTTTGAAAGAGTGGGTTAGATTAGATGATTGCTAGCTTGTTCCCTGGTTTCTCATCAAAAGGTTCCCCATCAGTCCCACTCTCAGTATGACTTATCCTTTCAAAAGCATCCATATTTTTCCTAGCATGTCACCTCTGATTGATCTGGTTTCCCATAACTATCTTGAGACTTGGTGAGATAATAAACCTGTGCTTGGTCTATACCACTTCAGTCCAGAGGATGATATTTACATGGCTGCAAGGTTCTCACACTAAAACGAATAATCTTGTAATAGGAGAAATGCAACTGGCAGGAAGAAAATCAGGTTGTGCAACCATTTTCTTCCTAACATGCTGGCTTCCTGGTGTAACTGCTTTGTTTTTTAGGGTGGAATATTCTGCCCCCCGCCTTCCCACTTGCAGAGTAAAATTGTATGACCTAAATACAAATGAACTACCCCCCCAGTGTGAGCATATCCATGGCTTACACAGATGTGATTCATGGATATTTATCATTTTGATCATTCTGTTTACTTTGTACTTAATACTGGTACTCAAAAAGTATTAAATCCCCAAAGTGTTTACTAGACATTCTTGAATCTGTGGTTCAAAGCTTCTGGAGAGCACTAGCTTGGGGATGACTACTTATGTAGCCCTAGGTAGAGACCAAGCCAACTTCAACTGAAACATGTGATGGGATGTGATAGTAGAAAAAGCAGCTGTGTGTGTGCGCGCGCACGCATCTGTGCGTGTATGTGCATGCATGCAGGTGCATGCAAGAGATCTGGATGCAAATGGTCCATAATGACAAATGGAGACAATAACTTAAACCCTTTCTTAGCTGCCTCTGTATTGAAACAAATATGAGATTCCGGTGTCACTTACACTTTGGCAGACCTACCATTGACTGCTGCAGGCCTCAGAATTGCACATGCCTATCAGACCAGGGCCCAAGTATCTTTTTGACATTGGGAGCAGTAGACCTATCCTTGAAACTGGCATATAATATCAAGTATGTCACAAATGACAACTTATCATTCAGGCTGGCAGTTGAAATGGCCAGGCTGTCCTGATCTGAATCTTGCTATGGTATAAAGCCTCCTAGATTGGCATTTGCATCTCAAAAGCAAACTCGACCCTTCCTTGTTATGATACTGTCTAAAGGCAGCTCAGGACAATCCATGTCTTATATGTAGATTCAGCATGGTCTACGCAGTGATTCACAACTTTGGCAGATATACAGCCTTCGGTGATGAGAATTCCTACTCGTGGAAGAGAATGGGGTATGCAACCAATTCTACACTCACCCATGCCTAATCATCTTTACATGAAAATATCTACCCTGTAGCTCCACATATGCACTTTCTGTGTTTCCTAACCCTCCCACCTCACCCCTCCCAAAGTACTAGTTTCTCTGCCACTATCCTGAAACTTGGGACTACAACTCCCAGAACCAAGCTATCGGAGGATGATGGGAAGTAGATAAGATGGTAAGATGATATGAGAAAAGAAAAAAGAGAAGATGAGATGAAGGAAGAGAAGGGAAGGGAAGGGAAGGGAAGGGAAGGGAGGGGAGGGGAGGGGAGAGGAGAGGAGAGGAGAGGAGAGGAGAGGAGAGGAGAGGAGAGGAGAGGAGAGGAGAGGAGAGATTTATTGTTACTTTTCTCTGTACATAATGGCACACATTAAAATAAAATTGATGTCCACTCTCATAGGAATACACACACACATCCATATACGTGTGCATACACATACATATACTGTAGATATGCATATATATATACTCTGTGTGTATATATGTGTGTGTGTGTGGATAGATGATAGATAGATAGATAGATAGATAGATAGATAGATAGATAGATAGATAGACAGACAGACAGACAGACAGACAGACAGATGAACAGACAGACAGATGAACAGACAGATATATATAGATATATATAGATGTAGGTCTTTGGTTATTCGGGTTTTCTCCCACGTAAAATTTTACGCGGGAGAAAACCCGAATAACCAAAGACCTACATACAAACACCCGCAAAAACCTCAGAAAACAAATATATATAGATATGTACACACACACACACACGTATATATGAACTGTAGTTCAATCCATGTAGAGGGCATGAAATCGTGAAAGGTATGATTGTATCTTCAGTCTTCCAGTGTAAACAAATAAGATACCATTGCCAACTGTTCAAACTATTCTGAAAAGCAATGTACTAGAATGATTAGTCATGAAGGCCAGCATTGGGAAATAAGGCAGTAAATATTAACTGTTGCTTTTAATGCCAACAATCTAATCCGTTCTATTCGAAACATAAAGGGATAGATTGCCAGTTCCAATGTTGCCTGGTATGCTTAAGAGACAAATGGGGGAAGTAAGCCATCTGGTGGTAAAAGAGTTGCATAACAACAGAAAGTAAGAAGACACATATTCAGACAAGAAACATGCGCTGACACCTGGAAAGCATCTTTAAGCAGCGAATCAATACTGTTTATTTCTTTCACAGTTAATGTAGCGCAAATATACCATTGTTATAAATATAGAGAGTCTGAAATTTCTGGTCTCATTCTTTTTACTGTTCAATTTTTGGACCTTAAGACAAAGTTCACAGCAGTTCAGACAGTTACTTTTGGTAGTAAATGAATCTAACAATACCATAGGAAGTTTCCACAGATTACAAGATGTATACAAGGCCATTTCTACCCATCTAAGCACATCAACTGTAATGTACAAGTTAATTGTCACAATAGTACAGGTTATTAACTCTAAAGTTGAGAATTGGCCCAAACAACCTTACTTGTTGCATAGTTGACAAAGAAAGCAGCAGCTATTTAGAAGATTTAAATATTACAGTATTTTTTTTAAAAAAAAATAAGGAAGGGAATTTGGGGTTATAAGGTCGCTTCTTGGCCTTTATCCTACAAATCTCTCACATTACGAAGAGTCTACTGCGTCTGCATTGGAATGTACAATGACAAAATCCAGAGACATATGGGTTCTGTTAAGAGTCAGTTAAAACATAATGTTACCCATTCATTTTATTCTCCATCTCAGGTAAAATGTTGTATGTCAAAGAGCAAACCCATGCATTTTTCAGGAGCCACACTTGAAGAGATCTAGTTACATTTTTAAACACTGCAAGCTGCCTTATCAGTTGTGCCCAGAAGCATTAAAACTTTAATATTTCACATCATCCTGAGCCTTCAGATCAGTTTATGCATTCGTTTTCTATGCTGATTCCAAAAGTAATTTGATGTGATTACAGGTACATGGATGAGGGAAGATAAGCATAGTCTATGATGGAGGGCACTGAAAAATTGCATTATGCCTCATGTTAATCTCACATGCGCAAGTCCCCTTTACTGTACATTCTGATTTCACTGGAAATCGATCTCTGGAGTTGCAATTCTTCTCCTTATTTTTAGAGTATAGTTTTTGAAGGGGGAGGGAATATTTTAATAAGGAAGTATTCATTGACAATAAGTTTCTGTATATTAATTAGGACATGTCAAGTTGCAGGAAGTTAGCACTCAGAAACCCATTTTTCTCCTAGAAAAATGAAATATTCTAGGAAATATTAAAAAGGCAGAATATTATACCTCCCTGGATGAGAAATGGAGAAACATGTTTTTTAGTCAGGAAGAAGACTCGCTCTTAATAGCCCCCACACTCTCAATAGCCCACAACAGATGTCAGCACTTAAGCATGTGTCTATTCATAAGCAAATGCCCTCACCCAAGATCCAACAAAGATAGGATTACCCCTCTACCCATCTAGCAACAGAACTCAACACATGGCACCTGAGGAGATTGCATCATCCAGCAAGGCTCAACCAAGCCTGGGACTCAAAAGACAACCTACAAAGTTACCCCCTGCATGGCCCCATGGGAGTCTGACAACCAATCAGAATACAAGCTCAAATTCAAAGCCCAACAGAGGGTATAAATCTCTCTCTCACACCCATGTGCCTTTTTGCCCAGGACCTCAAAACCATGTGGTCCTGTCTACCATTAAACCATCTTTCCAAGCAGTCTCCATGTTTCCAGTGTCTTTCTCCCCACTTGGAACTGAACCCAGATGGACATTTCTTCCAACAAAATTTTTCAACTTTCCATTTCCAAACATTAGGGGTGCTCAAAGTTTGTGATGTGCCTTGGGGATTGTGAAGATATTTTGGTTACTTTAATATAATTTAGATGTGTTTGGATACATAAATATCATAACTTTTCAGACCAGCAATTCCCCAGCAAACAATTCAAACCGGCAATTCCCCAGTACTATCAAAGAAGAGCATTATTCTGTGTGCAGTGAGCCGGGTGGAAGATATCTTTATCATTTCACTCCAGAGAAAGGCTCAAAAACAGGAAAACCTGCTCAAGTGATTGCAGATGATCTGGTGTATTTCATGAAGAAGAGAAGCATTGACAAAAGCTTGAAGGCCATTGGAGGAGATTCTACAAATGTTAATACCGGCTGTGAAGGTGGCGCCATGCTCTGGATAGAGGTCAAGCCAGAGCATCCACTCTGCTGGAGCTGATTGACTGGTCTGAAGGTGTATATAAGCCACCTTTGACCTGCAAACTGTTTACAGTGGAAATAAATAAATTCATTGACAAACCCATGCAAGTAACCACAATGGCCCTTTCATGCTCAATCAATAGAGGGATGAATGAAACAGGTTACAGAGGCAGAAAGCAGAGTGTATACACATGAGAAACATGAGGGTTATATCAGAGGCCAAGAAATATGGCGGCTGATGTCGAAGAATGAATCAACATAAGACTTGATGAAACTCGCTTAAACATTTTTGTAACTCGGATAATTGCTTTCTGCTGTTAGTTTTTGATTGCGTGGATTATTTTTTGCTTAGCTAGATAAGATTGATGCAGAAAAAAAATTCTAGTTTTTGTAGTATAAGGTGTAATTTTGAGAAAATAAAAGTAACAGTATTTGTGGGGTATATGATCAGACATGGATTTACCATACCAAGGTAAACATTGTGCAATTGCAAAAATAGCAGCAGATTTCAAAAAAATTAATTTTCACCCCATGAAATGACACGCCCTACAGTGTATACCATTTGTCATTGTCTTTAGAAAGGCCTCAGATTATTTTTCATATGCATATTTTCTTCCTCTTTTTGGAGAAAAGTAAAAACAAATCATATATTCTTTGTGCATACAAATTTAGTTTTCTGTGTACCTATCAATTTACTTCTTTCACAACTCTAACAATATTTTGCCATTCCATATTTCTACCTGAAAGTTGGTAACAACCACATCATGTGAAGAGATAACTCTTTCCATTTTTCTTTGTTCTCCAATAGTTGAACATGCTTCCAATTTTTCATAATGCATGTTAGAACAATGCTCAATACTTCATATGGTGGAATCTCCATTAATCAGATATAGTGTCTTCTAGAGTTTTCTAACCATTACTGAACTGATACACCAAGAGTTTATAAGCTTATATACTACCCCATAATTTACAGTACACTTTGGGCAGTTTACAAGGTAGCATTATTTGCATATTCACCCCAACAATCTAGATCCTCATTTTACCAACCTTGTAAGGCTGAGTCTACCTTGAGCCATTAGGATCAAACTCCAGGCTGTGGGCAGAGTTTGCCTGCAATACTGCATTTTAACCACTGTGCCACCAGGGCTCATTCTCTCCAATAATGAGAATAGGCATTGTATCACCTCAATGAAGGCCACTTAAAGCAAATATTTATTTTATATTTTTGTACCACCATTTTTCTAGGAACTAAATATGGCTTTCATAGCACTGTTCTTTTTTTCGCAGTAGCATAAACCCTGTGAAGTGAGTTGGGTACAAGAGAGTAACTGGCTGAAAATCAGCCACTGAGTTTCCATGAGGGTAGACTCAAAATCAGTTCCTCCCTGTTCTTAGTCCAATATTTTACCCCTATAACACACCACAGCCATTTTGTTCAGATTATTAAGACTGATATATTACTGAAGAGAACAACTGGGTTTACAGTAGTAATCTGGGAGTTCTACCGTAAATCATTGGAAAATGCCAAGTTGGTTCCTTTAGCTGTTTCTTCACTATCATAAAACCAAAAGGACATTATACCAGTGAAAGAAGAATGGGGCTTCAACTAGACTATGGCTCACAGCTTCTTTGTCATGATGGGTTGCTAACTGACTGACTGAGATGGGTATTCTGGAATGAGTTAGGAAGAGACACATTCCCCTTCTAAGCCTTTGTTGCACTAAGCACAAGGCACTTATGTGTCCTTCAGATATCTTTGGTTTGAGACCATGCATTGATCAAATACAGGTAGTCCTCATTTAGTGACTGTCTCATTTAGCAACAATTCATAGTTATGATAGTAATGTAAAAGTAGCTTTGCAACATTTACAGGTTTGTAAAACAAAGCCGAATTAAGATTGTAAGCACAGTTGTGGGTTCACTTAGCAAACACTTCACTTAATAACTGAGTTGTGGGTCCCAAATGAGATCATTGAATGAGGACTATTTGTAATGATAATGGTGTAGAAATTATTCTAGATTACTGCAAGAACCCTTCTTTTCCAATATTTGGAAGATCCCTTGTCAGCCTTAGATCAAGAAATACCATCACAATTATAAGTAGCTTATGTACCTACATTCCTTCACATTTTTTTCAATAAATATGGCACAAATTCATTCTGAATTTCTGAAACTGAAACGCACAATATTCCAGAGGCCTCCTGGCCTCATTGTCAGCCTCTTTGCCCATTGAATGTCATGAAAGAAAGGGAAAAAGAGAGGCAATGAAAACATAGCTGACTTCTAAACCAAGCATCTCTTAACAGTTGCATTTACTGAGCTGGAAATGGCCAAACGGGTGAAACCCATCCAGGTGGTTGTGGGGGTAACACGATCAGGTGGTTGGAAGGCACGTAGCCCCTCTGTCCATTCACTTCCACGAAGAACCATTCGTTGCTTCCCTTTTTATCATGGGGTTCCAGCACAGTCACTGATTGGCCTGCTTGCATACTGACTTCCTGGTTGCTCCTGGCTGTGAAAGGATAAGCAGCACTTACCTAAGAAAAACAGAAACAAGGTTATAATACTGGATATGATTTTGATCATTATAATACAGGATAAGATATCAAAAAATTAAATAAAGATGGCCAGCTCAGTCCTATCCAGATAGGCAAAGTGTCAGAGTAATGAAGATTTAAAGCTGACTAACCCCTTTAAGACTGAGGATGAGTCAGCAGGATTATTGCCCTTTAAGAAGCTGTCTATATAAAGGAGGCCATTAGAGGGTGTCCCTCTCTCTCTCTCTCTCTCTCTCTCCTTGTGTATCATTCTCTTCATTTATCTGCATTGTAGTTCTCTGGGTAGAGTTGAAGAAGACTGATTGCTTGTCTGGTATGTTCCTACCACATGTATGTTTGTAGATAGAATTGTATATAAACCACTGTTTATAAGACAAACTTCTGTCTCCTGTATTTTGCTCCTGGGTGGTCTCGAAATGTAGTCACGCTGTAAACACTCTGACACAAAGCAATTTTCTGGGGTGCCTTTCTGCAAACATCTTGAAGAAGTAGAAATTTATTCTGAAAGTTATGACAAGTAGCCATGCCCAGAGACAGAACAGGTATCAGTGGACCAGAGGAATGCTGTCTATACAATTTACTTGGACTTTAGTAAAACATTTGATAAAGTAGACCATAACCTACTACTAGATAAAGTAGAAAAATGTGGGTTAGACAGAATCACCACCAGATGGATTCGTAACTGGCTGACCAACCACACTCAACATGTAGTCCTCAATGGAACTGCATCTACATGGAGGGAAGTATGCAGTGGAGTACCCCAGGGCTCTGTTTTAGGCCCAGTGATCTTCAACATCTTCATCAATGACTTGGACGAGGGGATAGATGGAGAACTCATCAAATTTGCAGATGACACCAAGCTGGCAGGAATAGCCAACACTCCAGAAGATAGGCTCAAGATACAGAAGGATCTTGACAAACTTGAACATTGGGCGCTATCTAACAAAATGAAATTCAACAGTGAAAAAAGCAAGGTTCTATATTTAGGGAAGAAAAACAAAATGCACAGGTACCGTATATGTGGTACCTTGCTCAATAGTAGTAACTGTGAGAGGGATCTTGGAGTCCTAATGGACAACCATTTAGATATGAGCCAGCCGTGTGCAGCAGCTGCCAAAAAAGCCAACACAGTTATGGGCTGCATAAACAGAGGGATAGAATCAAGATCACGTGAAGTGTTAAAACCACTTTATAATGCCTTGGTAAGGCCACACTTGGAATATTGCATTCAATTTTGGTCGCCACGATGTAAAAAAGATGTTGAGACTCTAGAAAGAGTGCAGAGAAGAGCAACAAAGATGATTAGGGGACTGGAGGCTAAAACATATGAAGAATGGTTGCAGGAACTGGGTATGTCTAGTTTGATGAAAAGAAGAACTAGGGGTGACATGATAGAAGTGTTCCAATATCTCAGGGGTTGCCACAAAGAAGAGGGAATCAAACTATTCTTCAAAGCACCTGAGGGTAGAACAAGAAACAATGGGTGGAAACTCTGAAGGATATTGCAAAATCTCCATTCCCACCCCACTCTCGGGCCACCCAGATGTACTCAAAATTTTCGCTACTGGTTCTCCGAACTGCTCAAAATTTCCTCTACTGGTTCTCTAGAACCTCTCAGAACCTGCTGGATTTCACCCCTGATCTTATCCTCAGCTGTGTTGAAGGGGAGAGCCGAGATCTGCCTTCTGCAGAGACCTTTGTCTGTGTTCCTCCTGACTAATACTTTCCAGGCCTTATCCAGATTCCTTATGAATCTGTCTTTATTGCTCTTCTAAAGAATATTTCACTGCTGTTCTTGAGAAAAAGCCCTCGTTCTGTGCTGCTGAGATTGATTTAAATGGGGAAGGAAAGCCAGATACTACATATTATTCAGTGTTGTGGGTTCTGTCCCCATTGGGTGCATTACAGGTTTTCTGTTTCTTTTACCAGTAAAGAGTTAAATATTGCTGCACCATTTGCTATCGTCACTTTGGGAAGTGGATGAAAAACAATTTTGTTCGCTCCATTTTAAATTCAGCGGCATTAGGTGATGATATTATGCACAGACCAATCTCCCTTGCATGCTTATGGCTGCATACTAACTCCATTGCTGCTCATTCTCCTGCTTCACCCTCTTCTGGGCCTCTTACCTATTACAAGAACTATTTGTACTATGGACTTAGTACTTTCTCAGAAGACACTTGGACTGAAATTCAAAAGCAGCTCATCTGAGAGGTCCAGAGAAGAGACATTCATAAAGCTTCTCCCAATACAATAGGTTTAACTTTTAGTAATAGAACCTTGTTGCATTCTGGTTTAGTGGCACTGGGTGATGACTCATTACTGTTACAAAATTGTACAATAGTCACTGCTCAATGTTCCCAGAACCAGTTTCTTGAAGATGCAGTTCCTACAGCAGTTTCTGCAATGCACTATCATTATTTATGATGTCTGGGGGAGTGCCAATTTGCCTACAACACTATAGCTTTAATAGCACCAGCTGCCAGGATGACTACTATTGCTCTATGCTCATATGCATGGACCAATTACAGTAGTATGTTGCTGAGCTGTTCTACAAGTTCTTGGATCTCATCTTGGTATCTTGTGGCTGGTGCTGGAATTCTTCATACTCTTGGATGACTTTGACCTTCATACCTTGGGAAAGGAGTTTGGTGTAGCTCTTTGTGCTCATGGCCTTAAGGGCAAACATCAACTACATCACATGTAATTGCATTCCTAACTTTTGTGAGAGGACACAAGCTAGATTTGCTTTTTATTTTGAAGCAGATAAGATGTGATCTGAAGATGGAAAACATTAACGATTGTTCTTTGGAACACTTGGATCTCCTCAAAGATGGAGGATTAGTTAGAGCCATCCACCCATCCCACAAGACATCCAGGGGGCATTTAGGGGTGTACCCCACAATTTGGCAAACTGTTGTATCTCAGTGTAGTCAATCCTTAAAACACAGAGGTGGCAAGAGATGGTGGGATTACTCCCATGAGGCTTTCCCCCAATTATTGATTCCTTAGTTTACTAGAGAACTGATGTAAGTGGAGTGATGGAAAAGAGATTTAAAGCAATAAAGGTATAAAACCAGAAGCAGATAACACCAAACATTAATGAAAGTTCATGTTTCAGCCTACACAATGGTGATAAGAATTGCAATGTGACAGTTCTTCTCCGTGCTTATTTCATCTTGTGCTAAAGATTCATGCTTGCGCTAAATTACAATCTTTTAGAGAAAGATGAACAGGACAAAGTGATTGCACACATACTGTACTGGATGAATTTGCAGATTTTTGGAAAACAATTTCACTTGATAGGGTTTTCAGTAATTTTAATGTTGCCAATTGTGATTCTTTGCCCTTTCAAATAGCTAGGCAGGACATGGATAGCTGGATCCAGGAAGTATTCAATGTTTCTCTAAGGAAGGAAGTAATGTCCACCTTACTTTAAAAGAAGCAGTTGACATTCCTGGTTATGGCTATGTTTAATTAATTTTGCCCAAGGTTCAATGTCCCTGTTTTAAAGAATATAGTTGAAAGATGGTGGGGAATCAGAGGAACATCATAAAAAAGATTTTAGAGGAAACAAGTTTTCTAGATCTTTTCCAGTTCAGATTCTAGTTATGAGGCAGAAATGGTTTTAGAAATGGTGGTGAATAGTTTTCATTCAGAATTCATGCGAACTAAACTTTTCAGGGTCCTATTAGAACTTTGACTTCTAGCTCCTACACAAGCAGCAAGTGAATGCCCAAGACTAGCTGTGATCTTATGATCTATCTTGTGATCTTATGTATTGTTAGACATAATCATAAACTAATCCTTCATGTGGCTGCTGCTCCTTATCAATTTTTGTTTTGGTTTTCATTGCTGATTACATGTATATATTTTTATTTGACCAAAACCTTGCCAGTTTCCAAATCTGACCCACACTCATGTTTCACTTTATAAATGTCTCAAGGGTGAGTCAACATATCTGGGCTATTCCATATTTAAATCCATTTGAGATCCTATTTCTAACAAACTACCTGGGGGAGGGGGAAAAAAATCACTTGAGAGGTATGCCCAATTTTGCATCCTGAAATGGCCCTGTTAAAATATAAATCAACATAACAGGACAGGAAATGCCATCATCTGCCAGTTTCCAGCCATAAATTCACTGCCTGTACACAACCCGTACTATTGTCCTTGAAAATCAAAGCAACAAGAAAGACAAAGACAAGAGTGGCTGAAAAGCTTGTGCTTTACTCACCTGTAAAACTGGAGCATTGAAGTACGCTGGGGGATCGGGAGTTTGGGGGAAGTTGTAAGTAGGATGCATTTTCCCAGCAGTATCACCCTGAGGCAACGTCGTTGTTCTGGGCTTTGAGTTGGGGACGTAATGGTACCGTTGGAGCTTTCCAGGTGAAACGTAGCCTCTTGGACCTGCATGGCACATAAGATAGGTAAGGTCAGGTTGAAGGCTAGACTGCTGACGAGAAGCAGATTGTTCCCTTGTTGTTTATCAGTTAGCCGATGGCTGTACTGCAACTCCAATGAAAGTGGCATGAACTTGACATAATTGGAAAATAATGGTGTAGAAATAACGATTGATATAAAAAGGAATGGACAAAAAGGCAGCATTTATTGTAGGAAAGAAGAGAGGATGTGTGGGATGTACTAATGAAAGGATGTGATTTTTACAAAAGGTTTTGGCAAGATGTAATCTGTCCTGTTTTAAAAATCAAGGCCAGGAGGAGATACTTTTGAATACATTAAAATTTTACATTCATATAAAAATCCTAATGTTACAGCGACAATGGCTAAACTTTTAACTATGGCTATAGAAGTAAGGTTTTTACTTTAGATAAGTAAGTAAGTAAGTAAGGTTTTTACTGATAGATATAATATCTATCAACTTATTTATCTCAAACTGTTTTATTTTATACAAACCCTTTTTATTATACTGTATCTGTACTTTATTATTTGTGTCTTTCAACTTAATAATAGCACTTAGCACTAGCACTTAGACTTATATACCACTTCACAGTGCTTTACAGCCCTCTCTAAGTGGTTTACATAGTCAGCATATTGCTCCCAACAATCTGGGTCCCCATTTTACCAATCTTTGAAGGATGGAAGGCTGAGTCAACCTTGAGCAGCTCAGAATTGAACTGCTGGCAGTTGGCAGAATTAGCCTGCAGTACTGCATTCTAACCACTGCACACCATGGCTCTTGAACTATAATATTTTGATTATGTTATGTTATGTTATGTTATGTTATGTTATGTTATGTTATGTTATGTTATGTTATGTGCTATGCTATGCTATGCTATGCTATGCTATGCTATGCTATGCTATGCTATGCTGTGTTATGTTGTTCGTTACATTACGTTATATTATGTTATGTTATGTTGTTTGTTATGTTACATTATATTATGTTATATTATATTATGTTATGATGTTATGTTGTTATGCTGTGCTATATTATATTATATTATTATTACATTATATTATTATTACGTTATGTTATAGAAAGGAAACAAGATGAGTGGGAAAGATGACCAACATTAGCACAAATATGATGAATGGAGACAAGAAGGGGAGATATAGATCCATAGAATTAGAATAAGTCCTGGAAAAAAATACATTGTAGGGAAAATATAGAGGAAGGGAAGGGGTGTTTAATATAGATAAAGAAAAGACAAGAAAAAAGAGAGCAAAGGAACTGGTTGCAATATGAAGGCAGAGAGAGGTAGAAAAGTCAGTATAAAAGAATGGGAGAGATGAAAGAAAGGGCAATTTGGACTTCTGCTCCTGCTTTAGGCAAAATTCAACCATGGGACAGGCAACTTATAGTTCAGTTAGTGATCTCCTGGTTGGTGAAAAGAATTCTCTTCCTTCACCCCTCTCTGTAGCTACTCACCACCCCCTGAAGTTCGGACAATGGCTGTCTCATTTTCTGCCTAAAAGGACTATGGTACAATTGTTGTAATGAGGCATCTCTCCTGTTTTTTGCAATTACCTAATGCATGCAAAATCTGGTACGGGACCTTACAACTCCTGGGATACTTGAGTCCGGCTATCCTACCACCACTCTAGTTTTCTTCCTGACATTTGATTTTCACTGCTCAGAGAGCAAGCAACTCTCTCTTTCATTACAACCATTTAACAAGTATACAAAGGTATCTCCCCCCCCCCCGCCATCACCTAGTTGCTGAGAAAATCAAGGGAAACTGTCCCAAGGGGGGGGGAATCTACTTCTCATTAATAAAATGCAACTGGCTAGGAATTATATTCTCAATGGGAACTAATAAAATGTGACTGGCTAAAATAAATCTATCTGAATCAAATTAAAGATCCATTTGATCCAATACCTTGATTTCCACAGTGGTCAATTCTTGATCTCTAAGAAGCTCAGTGACTAGTATTTTAATTCACTCAAATACTGAAAGGTGTATAAAACCAACTGTTCAGTGGCAAGCACTCTCAATTAAACTAGAAGAATGACAAAATGCTGGATGTGCCTTAATCTACCCTATTTTTCGGAGTATAAGACGCACCTTTTCCCCCCCTAAAAGAGGGTGAAAATTTGGGTGCGACTTATACACCGAATGTAGCTCCCCCCACCCACTGGCCCCCACCCTATGGCCTCTGCCTCCCAGCAATTTACCTCCTTGCAGCAAGCTGCAAGAAGAAACAGTCTGCTTCAGCACAGCCTAATTAGCACAGGTTAATTGTCCCTTGGATCGGCCTCCCGAATCTCAGCTGTTTCAGGCTGCAGGGATTGCCATTGCCTATTGCTGCGTGGGCCTCTGCTGCTTGCTGCAAAGAGGTAAATTGCTGGGAGCAGTTTTTTTTTTCTAATCAAGCTATGCTGAAAACGAAAATGAAAGTAAAGCAGGGTGTTTGCTGTTTGCTGCAAAGAGGCAAAATTGCTGAGAGGCAGAGGCAGATTTCTTTTTCTTGTTTTCCTCACCAAAAAAGGTAGTTGTGTCTTATAGTCCGGAGCATCTTATACTCCAAAAAATATGGTATTTTTAAAAAATATTAATGGTTTTAGAACACAAATAAAAACTATTCTGAAAAGTTTAAAAAATCTGCCAAAGGAAAGACTGCAGATTTCTTTTTTTCCTTCCACATTAGCTAATCAGTCTATTAGATCACATGTTACATGAGCAATAGCACTCTATAATAATCTTCCCCAAATTGCTGAACTCCAGATCTGATGGACTATAATTCCCCTGATAACCAGCCAGAGATTTGGGAGTTGTAATCCAACACATCTGGAGCTCACCAGATTAGGCTCAATGAAATCTTCTGTGGTTATGGCTTAAGCTTCTTATCTGATGCAGTAGGCATGTAAGAGATATCAGACGCAGATTCATTTTACATCAAAAGGCTGCACTTCATCAAAGACTGTTCTGCAGCCAGATCAATTTACTCACCCCTTCTTTTCCTGCTAAAAAAGTTCTAAATGCCAATATGTATTTTGTAAAATAGTCCTTTTGGATCATTTGAATTTATAGGTGCATCTTTCCACAATACCAACCTCCATCGTTTAAGGACTTGTTGCAATTAAAGCATATATAATTCAAAAAAATATAAACCAGGTAGGTAGACTAGGTTGTATACGAAACAGCATATATTTGTATACAGCTATACAAATTAGCCATGATGGGATTTTGATGCATAAGCAGAATACAAAAATATTTTGACTATAAACAAACAACTGCCTTCAGTTGAGTTTGACTTTTACTGATTTCAGGGTATACCCACATACAGTCATGTGAAAAAGAAAATACATCCCCTTTGTGTTGTAGGGTTTTACGTATCAGGACATAATAAAAACCATCTATCCTTAGCAGTTTTTAAAAGTAGGCAAATCCAAGCTGAACGACACATAACATACACCATGTCATCATTTATTTTACAAGCCCAGAGGATTCCTGATAATCTCCAATTCAAATATTACACAGATCTGATCCTATTTAGGTTTTTGAGATAGATATTTCAAAGAACCATGGATTTTTTAAAAAAAGGCAGGTACAAGGGGGGGGGGAAGCATTACTTTTCAAATTTCACAAAACAGAATAATGTGTGATATTCACACAGACTGAGTTTAGACCAGGGGTGAAATCCAGCAGGTTCTGACACGTTCTGGACAACTGGTAGTGGAAATTTTGAGTAGTTCAGAGAACCAGTAGCGGGAATTTTGAGTAGTTCGGAGAATACCACCTCTGGCTGGCCCCAGAGTGGGGTGGGAATGGAGATTTTGCAATATCCTTCCCCAAGGATTGGGGAGGGAATGAGGATTTTGCAGTATCCTTCCCCTGCCATGCCCACCAATCCACACCCACCAATCCACGCCCACAGAACCAATAGTAAAAATATTTGGATTTCACCATTGGTTTAGATTGATCAGACCATCCCAATTTACCACTCTTGGTAACAAAGAAAATAAGTCCTTGGTGCTCCCTGAGCTTGCTTGTTTTCTTGCAGAGTTGATGATGATTACCTACTTTAGGTCATGAAACATCTGCAAGGAAACCATCAAGCTCAGGGAACACCAAGGATCCCTCATTTCAACCCTGAGCTATAAACATTCTTCTTTATCAGTACAAAGAAAAGGGTTCTGGGTGATTGCAACACTAACAATACCTCCTGAATCAACCAGCCATCGGTTTGTGTTGCCCTTGGAGTCCATGCCATGCAAAAAAGCCACTATCTGCCCTCTCTGCAGAGTCAAGTCCATGTCTTTGCAGCCACCGGTGTCGCTTGTCACTTGGTACAATTTATCTGGGCCATGTTTGTTCAGAAGCAAATGGACCTTCTTCTCCTCTGCAGAGCTAAGAGCCTATGGAAAAGGTAGAAGGAGAAATGAGTCAGAAACAATATCCCCTGTGGAAGAAATATGCTGCTGTGTTTTATGCACTTATGCATGAATCATAATGAAACAAAGTGCTAATGCATCTAACCAAAAATATCCGAGAACAAGATGTGACAAATAGTTTCAGAAGACAGATAAAATAGGCAATTCTGCAAATGAGGCAGAGTAGGACTGCAAGAAAATGGACACTGGGAAAAGGAGAGGGAAAATTATTTTCATCTGCTTCTAATACTACCAGTTCTATTTCTTCTACAGGGCCAAAAGCAATACATTTGCTCGAGACAGCTGCTGCTGAATCTTAATGCTACAGCCTTTCAAACAATCATACTGAACTAAGGTCAACTACTCTGAAAAATGTCAGTAGGCTGAATAAAACATGTCTAAATTAAATTTAAAAATGCAAAGCATAATAATTGTCTACTTGTTACCCTTCCATTGCTCAGGATTGAAATATCTAAAATCTGTCTGTATGTTTTACGTGCACAATTCTCAAATTATAAAGTTTAAGCAATCTGGCCAGTAATTTCTTTAATGGCAAGTTCATTTAATGGTACTGCAAAATCAACTGACTAAGATTATCTGTTTTATCCTTCCTAATGCTTCTACTGGCCCTGAGATTATTTTGGGATTACTAGTAACTAAATTTGTTTAGTCAGAAGTTATTACAAAGGCCATCCATCGGCCTACAATTTATACTAAAACTATCATTTGCTGCAGAAATAACTTCTATATACACTACGGCATGTATGGGTCAATGACTCAAAAAAAAGATCTTAAAAGGGTTCATACACTTTTCTCCTAAAATGCATACAATGCACAAATAGGTTGTTTAGTAAAGATTTCTGAGTGCCTTAATGAAAAATGTGACATCATCAACTACAACTCATCTTGAGTACTTCACAAAAGGGTAAAGCAAACTCTCCAAAGACAAGCAAGCAAGCCTTTGAATTATTCACTTCCCTTGCACTCAAATTCCAAGTTTATACACAAATCAATCCAAGCATCCAAATATCACAGAATATCACTGGATAAGACCTAAAGTTCACCTGGAATTAGCATCTGCTTTTTCCATGCCCATGCCAAATATTTATGAGTTAACTATTCATCAGTCAACTGAGGAAATTGTGCACGAGTAAACACCCACCCTCCTGCTTTTCCAGTAGCATCATACCTGCACAACGGGGCTTGGCAATTCGGTATCAAACTTCTCCTGGAGAAAGTACAGCTGATCTTCGGCCTGTTTTAAAGTATTGGTTACCATTTTCCAAAATTCAGTTGCAGAGAGATGTTTATGGGGCAGCTGTAAGAATAAGCCTAGAATTAAATGACTGAAAGTGTGTGTAAAACTATTAGTCTCCTAATTTTCTTAAACTTTGTATCAGGTCTCCTGCTATTTATACCAGTGGTGGGTTTCAAATTTTTTTACTACCAGTTCTGTGGGTGTGGCTTGGTGGGCATGGCAGGGGAAGGATATTGTAAAATCTCCATTCCCACCCCACTCCAGGGGAAGGTCACTGTAAAATCTCCATTCCCTCCACACTCCAGGAGAAGGAAACTGCAAAATCCCCATTTCCTCCTGATCAGCTGGGACTCGGGAGGCAGAGAATAGATGGGGGCAGGGCCAGTCAGGGGTGGCATTTACCGGTTCTCCAAACTACTCAAAATTTCCGCTATCAGTTCTCCAGAACTGGTCAGAACCTGCTGAATACCACCTCTGATTTATACCATTCATAACAGGCTGCACATCAGCACAAAAATATTTTAGGATATGGACTGGGATTTCTGTGTTTTCAAGGAAATGCTACATTTTTTCCCTCTTCGAGTATATGCCTATTGGTTGCATGCAGGAGGAAAGAATCAAATAGAAATCGCCTCTTACCTGGACAATCTCCCCTTCTGCCTCTTGGAGGACTTGCTTGGCCAGATCCCTCTGAAGAGTCACGAAAGAACACAGGATGCAGGCCAGCCACTTCAGGGCCACTTGATTGAATGTAGGAAGCTCAGATACAAGCAAGGAGTTAATGCCAAGATAGGTATTCATGATAGCCTCTTCCTCGTAGGTCACACTGCCCGTTTCGTTCCTCTTTTCCTCATATTCCTCATAGTCGAGCAGCTTATCCGATCGCTTCTTGATTAGTTTCTGGGGTCCCCTCAGAGTCTCTGACAAGTTGCACAGCGGCTTATATACCAGGTGCTCCAGCCTCTGCTTCTGTAAAGGAAGAGATGCAGACTTTTCTCAAATCTTGACCTCCTTTGCTCTGTTCCGAAGTGGAAGATCAGAAGCCTCTGGTCCTTCTCCTTGCTATATACCTAATATTTAGAGAAATCTTAGATCATCTAGAACAATCTCAAAGAACTTGCTTTGAAATTTTGGAATATATATATGACATTATGTTCCATTTCTCAGAAACTGGCTCATTAGGTAAGATGAATTTTTTTTTTCCTTTGAAAAAGCCCTGTATCTCACAATTGGTTTATCATCATTCATTATCGTCTTCAGTTATGCCGAGACTACAACTCCTAAAATCCCAGTTTGCCTGCAAATGTGAGAAGGCAAAGCTATAATCAGTCAATCCGATCCTTCCCTCTTCCCAAATTTGGCAAACTAGAAATGAAATTATACTTACGTAGACAGGAAAGATGGTGCTGTGAAGCTTTTTTGCAAGGGAACAATATGGTTGGATAATGTATGTTTCTATATCCAATTCATCCTCATGTGGTTTGAAACTAAGGAACATCTGAAAGATAAAGAAATTAATCTGATAACCTAAAAACATGATCTTATCGGGATCATGTCCACGAAATCAGTCTCTAAAATGCCATCATTATTTATTGAAAAGCAGTATTTTTCAGGTTAAACATGCATGAGTTATGGAAATAATATACAGTTAGATTATAAAGGAGGGATATGTAGAAGAAAGGCTTGAAAACTAGATTGAATTTTAATTTTAAAGAATTTTTATAAAATGATGTATCATTGGTACATGACACCAGATAAATTATCCAAAATGTATAAAAGCAAATTTTAAATATTTGTTGAAAATGTAATCAAACAGTGTACTGTACATTTTTCATCTTTGGTGGACCTGCAGCAAAAGTATTGGAATCAAATACGTATTTTGATGAAAATGGTTTTAAAAGTAAATATACAATGAGACTGTTCTTTTAGGCTTAATGGACAAACAAATAGAAACCTGTTCTGGAACTTTATTTTTACATATGATAATGGAAGCAAGACTTTATATGCTCAAAGGTGGGAGGGCTTACAAACACCAGCAATGGAAGAATGGATGATGAAGCTGGTAGAATTGGTGGAGATGGCAAAACTGGCAGCCTTGATTTTAAAAAAAAGACTTTGACAAATTTTATTTCTACTTGGTAATTTACTCTTGGACTTTTTGTGGGACAGAAATGAAAAACTGATTTGGAGATTTGATGATTCTGTGGGACCATCAAAATAATGCAGCAAATATTAATCTTAGAATAAGAGTTTGATGCATGTTTTTTATCTGTATGTACCAGGGGTGAAATCCAGCAGGTTCTGACCGGTTCTGGAGAACCAGCAGAACTTTTGAGTAGTTTGGAGAACCGGCAAATACCACCTCCGACTGGCCCCCGAGTGGGGAGGGAATGAGGATTTTGCAGTATCCTTCCCCTGCCACGCCCACCAAGCCATGCTCACCAAGCCACACTATGCCCACCAAGCCACGCCCACAGATCTGGTAGTAAAAAAAATTGAATTTCACCACTGATCTGTACCAAAGAAAGTCAGAATTCATTCTTTTTCTATTTTTTCTATTTTTTCTTTTGTCTTATCCCCTTTTCTGAATTGTTTTCTTTTTCAAATCTTTTTTCCTGTTTTTTTATTGTTTAATTTAGTATTTTTTTAAAAAATAAATAAAGTTATATACTTTTTAAATCCATGAGTTATAGCACACTATCTAAAATAGGGAAAAGAAAAAGAGAATGCAGGAAAGAGATTAGAAAGAAGGGGGAAAGGAAGCTTTGGTCAGTTCCATAAAAGTTGGAAAGTGGTGAATTGTGATCACAGGTTAATATTTGCCACTGTCCAGCTTTTATTATAGAAATAATAAAGGCAGGACACCAATCAAATAAATAAATATAGAATCCAGTTATGGTTTTTATTTCTACTTCAAAATTGCAGTTTACACAAAGACTAAAAATGCTATACACAAATATTATTAATAGGTGGTGGCACTTCTGTTATGGATATTGTTGTGAAGTCTCATTCTGGGAGAATCCTGGTGTCTGTGTACTGAGGTTGGACCATAAATTAATGCAAATGTTTCATGAGTCGCCTCCCAAACTTTGCTTTACAAAGTTTACAAATTTACTAATTTACAAAGTTTACAAATGCTTTACAAATTTACAAATTCATCAGCACATTTACACAGATGTTTCCATTGATCAGAGTCTACTTCCAATTAAATATTCATAAACATGGTCGTCTTCTTTTGCTCTGACTACAGAGCAGGCCTTGAGAAGCAGGTGGGAAATGGTTACTTTTTACTTGGAAAAGTAAAAAAGCATGAGAATCAGAATGAGATAACCCCTCCCTTGACTTTGTCCTTAAGAAAGGAGAAGGTTCTCTACAGGCTTTCAAGATTCTGTTAATAGCATTGCAATATTTAGACTTATATACTGCTTCACAGTGCTTTACAGCCATCTCTAAGGAATTTACAGAGTCAGCAAATTGCCCCCAACAATCTGGGTTCTTGTTTTACCAACCTCAGAAGGATGGAAGGCTGAGTCAACCTTGAGCCTGGTGAGGTTTGAACTGCCAAATTGCAGGCAGGTGGCATTCAACAGGAGTAGCCTGCAGTACTGCATTCTAATCACTGTGCCATAGTGGGTCTTAATGAACCCCAACAAGAAATTCTAACAAGTAGCATTGCTAGAATTCCTGCAATGTTGGTTTCTTGGCCTGACCTACCTTGAACAGGTAACATCTCCCCATCATCTCAAAATAATAATAATAATAATAATAATAATAATAATAATAATAAATAATAATAATAGTAATATTCACTTCAGATGTCTGAGTTTAAAAAACAAAACAAAATTTAAGTCTTTAAAATGTGCCTTTTGGTTACACGTTTTGAAGAAGGATTGTCTAAGACGAATTTGCAATATTGTTGCATCAGATTTGAAATCTCTTGTAGATTCCTGATGACAAAATGCTCTCTTTGGGAAAACTTTCTTACCAATTGAGTCTGACATCCTATTCTGAGAAGCATCAGTGGCTGGTAAACCTATATTTTCTTTACTTTGGTGGATGCCTTGACTTCAGAGAAGACATCATGTGTGCTGCTACCACCCCTTCCTTTTCCTCTTTCCCCTCCTGGGTTCCCCACATTTAATGGCCTATGATAGAAGTTTGGTCACTGCCCAATCATTCCTTCCAATTCAGAACTAAGGGGATATTTATACTATATTCCCAAAATCCTACCTGCCACATGGTGTGCCAGATGTTTTGGATTTTTTTCTTCCTTTTGCCTTCTTACATAATTCCGCTGTTGGAATTATGATTGCTCCTGGATATTTAATTTAAATGTTCCCCAAATACTAAACTGAAGCATGTTCAGCATTATTAATTTCAACAGAAAATGCTATTAACAATTTTGAAGACATTATTTCCAGCTTTGGTTCTGGAGAGTCAGATAACAAAATATTCTATTCTTCTGATGCTGCTTGGTTGGTTCTACTGTTTTGGACATTAAAAGGAAGCAATAGGCAATCTGGTGTTCAGGCATACCTGAATATATGCTACGGTAATATGTTCCCTTTCTAAGATTTGCTTCCACGTTAAAAATCTTAATGGATGAGGCTAGCTGAGTTCTTGCAAAAATGTATCACTTTTCTCTCTGTCTATGGCGATTCTCTATCCACCAGGTCATGGTTGTCCCAAAGGTGCTTTTTTCAAAAGGCAACTGGACTTTCTTGGGGGTTCCCCCCCCCCTTTGAAAAGGTTTCACTTCTCATCCAAGAAGCTTGAAAGAAAGAAAAAACAAGAAATTCTGGTTGCCTTTCGGGGGGGTGGGAAGCACCTTTGGGTTACTTCTCCCTCACAAGAATATTTCTCCATTCTGATGCTTTTAAAATTTAGATGAGCAGCCCATGAACAGATGTAAATTTGAATTTGGAAATGGCAAGCAAGATTAAAATCTTGGCTAAACATCTCCCAGGCTTTCCTTTCAAAACTGTGGTACTGTAAAGATCTGCCTCTGTGGCCATTTTCTATGCCATTTCACTATGTGCGCTTACAACAGCAAGCATCAAACAGGAATCAGTTCTAAAGTTAATTCGCACATGGGCCTGCTACTACTAAAACCCACTATTTATGCACATGGCATAGATTACCATCCATTAAAGTCTATTCCAGTCCACTTCATTCATAATTTGAAATATTATTTGAACTTACTGCCTGGGCACAGCAATTATATCCAAGAGTTAACTTTCCCTGGATTGATTAAGCCCTTTTATATTTTAAGGTTCAGATGGTTTTGTGATTATTCAGAATGAATCCTCATTGTATTTTAGGGAAGTAGTTTACATCTTACCAACCAGCTGGTAATTTCTCTTCCTCTAAATTCATTATAGTTTTGTTTTTTTTTCAAAATCTTCTTAGCCTACAATGGCTTTGGCAGGAGATTAGCCTTGACGGCAGAAAGTATTTATTCAGCAAATGGCTCCTGATGGACATTGCAGCTGACAACAGATTTTCCCATTTTAAAAGGGAAATCCTTGAATTCATAGCAGAAATATGTTATCAGTGATTCTTAAAGTATCTCCCCGAACTACTGTAGGGAAAGAGCAGGAAAAGGCTAATGTTGTAATGTCTTACTTGTGGTCTCTACTGAGAAAGCTGTCTGGACTCTTCGGGAATCGAAACCTGAACTAGACAGGAATTGTTTTTTTTATAATTGCACTGTAGGGCAGAGGAGAGTGACAAGATACATTAAGACTGCATGTGTTGCTGAAAATCTTGTCTGTGGTGCTGGTATCCAATTGCAATTCTAAACAGGTTCCTAAGTAGAGAAATCTTATTTTAATGGCCTATGTGGGAAAAGGCCGTCTGTTATTCACAAACGTCCAGTAAATTGGAAGGTACATCATCAGATTGATGAATGTAATTTGTGTGATCAGACAAACAAAATTAAAGGTTATATTTTTGTCAATGTATTATACAATAAACTGAATTATGTCAATAGGCTAAATCGCAGCAGAATTTGGTCCCTTGCATGCAAAGTCCCTTACATCTGGTAAATTGAAATTTCACAGTAATCCCAGGCCAGACATTTGTGGAAGTCCTTATTAACAAGAAGGTGAATTAGGAGTCACATTAACATGGTTTATAAGTGACCGATGCTAAACTTAAAGTAGTGTAAGGACTCTCTTTATATCTTCTTCTTACAATGAGCATTGTAAGCATTGTAAAAATACAGAACGAAAGGCTCTTAAAGGTTTTAAAAAGAAACCTTTTTAAAGAAAGAAAGAAAAAAGAAAGCAGGGAAAATTGTACCTACAAAGTCAAGCAACATCTCTCCTTATCCCAGTTCTATTTGCTCTGCTTCTACAGTATATCCCCTTCACAAAAATGGTACAGTAAATTTAAAGCAGGGGGAATATTTGGCATAGCACTAACTTTTTAATGTGACAGATGGAAGCAGTAATTAAATACATCATTGGAAAGTAATCATATTACTTATATTAATTACATGTAAGCACCATCAAATTTAGCTTTTGTTCTGGCACTACTCAGTATTTTTTGGGAATGCAGCTCTTCGCTGACCATGGCTACCAGCCCAGAAAATACTGCGCAGCCCTTCTGGAAGGATCTGTTGGGTTTCCCCTACCATTCCTCTTCCACTTGCTTTTCTTATTATGCTCCATAAAAGAGGGGTGTTTTTTTTAGTGTGGGACCACTTGTCTCTTTTAGCTAACTTTTGATGCACATCTAATCTCATAATTCTGTGGACATTATTGAAGTTCTCAATTTTTTAAAAAAAATTTTTTTTCAAACTTCCTACCTACATTACCATATCCTGACATGCTTCCAGGGTTCTGTTTAAACATGTATAAAACCCCTGGTATTTTCCTTCTGAATGTTCACTGGAATCCTTAGAAGCCTAATTTAGCTACTGTTCCTTCTTTTTTGCCTACTGCCCTCTTTCCAAGTTCTCCAAGGTCAATTCCCTGAAGAAAGAGGAATGAACGTAACAGGTGACAGAGGGCTAAGGTTACTCGGTTTTCTGAACCTCATAATATTTGCAGCTGGGAATCATGAAAGCTTGGTTGTGAGCCCACTTAAAGTCCATTAACTTTAAAGAAAGTTTTGCTAGGTTCAGACTAGGGTTCCCTCATTAGGATGGGGAAAGTTTGCATTTTGAGCTGCTCCTTCATGAATACATATCCCAGCTCACACATTCAGAATATATTGATGGAAAAAGAATGCATGTATATAGCTGGATTACTTCCAAGACAAGAGTTAAATGACATATACATCAGTGTAACTGCTGCCTGATACATGCTGGTTGGGCCACTTGTTTTACCACATCTTCTGCACAGACTTTCTTAAATAGACTTAGCAGCTTTCCATCTTGCAAAAATAGACGTATTGGATCAAAGTAACTATATTCATACTAACAGCTTTAGAATAACAGAGTTGGAAGGGACCTTGGAGGTCTTCTAGTCCAACCCCCTGCCTAGGCAGGAAACCCTACAGCACTTCGGACAAATGGTTATCCAACATCTTCTTAAAAATTTCCAGTGTTGGAGCATTCACAACTTCTGCAGGCAATTTGTTCCACTTATTAATTGTTCTAACTGTCTAACTGTCAGGAAATTTTTCGTCAGTTCTAAGTTGCTTCTCTCCTTGATTAGTTTCCACCCATTGCTTCCTGTTCTACCCTCAGGTGCTTTGAAGAATAGTTTGACTCCCTCTTCTTTGTGGTAACCCCTGAGATAACACTGCTATCATGTCTCCCCTAGTCCTTCTTTTCATTAAACTAGACATACCCAGTTCCTGCAACTGTCCTTCATATGTTTTAGCCTCCAGTCCCCTAATCATCTTTGTTGCTCTTCTCTGCACTCTTTCTAGAGTCTCAACATCTTTTTTACATCGTGGCAACCAAAACTGAATGCAATATTCCAAGTATGGCCTTACCAAGGCATTATATAGTGGTATTAACACTTCACGTGATCTTGATTCTATCTTTAGCTTTAACAAAGCTAAAACCTAATACTGTGGATTTCTCTCCGGTCATGATTTAAAGCAATCTCAGAAACATTAATAGAGACAATGTTGGATTATCAACCACAAAAAGACACCTCTAGTCAAGTTTCTAAAGTGTGCTCTATAATTCCATGAGTTTGGTTGGACATTAGATACAAAAATGTTACCTGTGTGTTGTCCAGAAAGCAGGCCACATTCTCTTTCAGTTCAATTATAGCTGATGCCAATAACTGAAACTTTTCTTCCAGTTTATCAAACTTCTTATCCTCTGTCTAAAGATCAAAGAAAAGAAATTACATTTTGTCAGAAGGCAATTTACAGATAATAAAAGATTAGTATTGAGCAATGATGCAAAAGACAATAGAATGCCGCTAGTGAATATGGACTTCTATGAATGTCAATCATACTGTTGGGAGAATTTTCCTCGGAGAAATCTCCCTGGGCAAGTGCAAGCATCCCTAAAATCAAAACACTGAGTCTATCAACGTTCCAACTGACGAACCCAACCGAAGCAAGCACGGGCGAGATGATCCAATCTCTTCATGCAAAACTTTATTGAATACATCACTTCAGCAAAGATGAGGACAAAACGAAATCTAACTACCGCTACTTCCTGCGCAAACCCACAGTGTTAAAATTTAGATTCTCCCTCCCTCCTATTAGACCAGGTCACATTATCCAATTGAGTCTCATGGTATTGTTATGGCCGAAGTGGTTATAGAAAAAAAAATGCTTTTAAAAGCCTCTGATGATCCCAGCTGAGTTGCCTGATTGTCAGAGGCTTTTAAAAGCATTTTTTTCTGCAGCCTCTTAAGGTTGTAGAAAAAATGCTTTTAAAAGTAAAAAAAAAAAAAAGTTGGCCATGTCCACCCAGTCACATTACCCACCACCACCAAGCCATGCCCACAGAACAGGTAGTAACAAATTTTACATTTCACCACTGGAAACATCATATTTTATGAATGAAGACAGGGTTTCTCTGATTCCAGATTAGAAGGCATTAAAAGAAGATGAGAGGGGGGGAGAGAAATCAGAAGCTTTTTTAACTTCTATCAATACTTATAAATTTATGTTACAAATGAATAGGCAACTATGGTATGGAAAGCAAATATCTGCCATCTCTAGAATTACCAGAAATTATATTATTTCTGATAACTCTGGATCAACAGGAAAGTCTAATGCAAGCATAGACTCTTCTATTGGATCTTGGAAGAGGCAAGAGACAAACCGCTGGAAAATTACCATGGAAAGAGAAGAGAGATGATTGAAAGAAATTTATTTCAGTAGGAAAAGCTGATTTCACTAAATTTGCTTCAGTTCTTGAATTTTTTTTTTACTGCCCTAAAGTGGCTAAGTTGAGAGTTAAGGAATATTACTCCAATAGATAGTTCCACACAGGCTTCTCAATGCCGTCAGAGATAAGCTAATTTTAAGCAGGGTCATAATACTTTATCTTCGACAAACAGGAATCGGTGCTAAGCCCAATATCTCAATTGGGGATGTAATGAGGAGTGGAAAATGCTCGGCATGCTTGCAGCACTACATAAATTACTACTCCTGTCATTACATGTGAAGGAATCATCCTCAGCCGGGTCACAAGCAGAAGTTGTTATGTGATCTCCTTCCAAAATGTGTCATGATCCATAAATGAAGTACATGAACTCTTAAAGACTGCAGTGTGATCATCTACTGCTATCCACAAAGCATCTTGAGGGCATCGGGGTGAATTCAGTTGAATGGAATGGAAACGGTGGAGATGGGGGATCCTGGAATCTACATTTCCTAGAATACTCAATCTATAACTGTACCGTTTAAAGCAATAGCACTTAGACTGGTATACCGCATCACAGTGCTTTACAGCCCTCTCTAAGCTGTTAACAGAATTAGCCATATTGCCCCCAACAATATGGGTCCTCATTTTACTGACCTCAGAAGGATGGAAGGCTGAGTCAACCTTTATAAACCTTTCTTCATTCTTTTTTGCCATTCCAGACTACTGCAGGGCGTTCAGTACCAAGAGATACAGCAAAATGACATATATTTACCTTGGTCACAATCCCAGCTTCATGCATGAAGAGGCGGCTCAACCGCGCAGTCTTCTTGGCAATGGAGTGGGTATTGATACGGGCCAGACGTTCTCGCAGAGTCAGATACCCAGCCTTGTTATATTTATCTGCTGTTCTCAGTCCAAAAGAGAAGGTGAGAAATGTAACAGAACAAATTATATAAGGCAGGAGGAAATTGTTTCTGGGTATTTAAGGATTATTCAGTAGATATAAGAAAAAGAATGCCATGGGAAAACTTAACTTTGATATCCCAAAGGTGTTTTTTCAAGAGGCAACTGGACTTTCTGGTTTTTTCTTTTGAAGACATTTTGCTTCTCATCCAAGAAGCTTCTTCAGCTCTGAGTGGATGGTGGGGAATGGAAGGATTTATACTCCTAGGCAATGATAGTTTGCTGCATTAATGGACGTTTGGTTGAGACGAGATCATCCAATGAGAAGGGCTGGGCTCGCAAGCAAATGAACTCCAAAATGACAAATCCCTGAAACACAACCGCGTCTGAAAGTAAAAGCGGTGGAATACTTTCAGACATGGTTACATTTCAGGGATTTGTCGTTTTGAAGTTCAAACCCAGACCTTCTCATCCTCCGGCATGACTGGTCAATTCTCCCAAAGCAGAATTATGCTTTCAAATCAGTGGTGAAATTCAATTTTTTTTACTACCAGTTCTGTGGGCGTGGCTTGGTGGGCGTGGCAGGGGAAGGATATTGCAAAATCTCCATTCCCACCCCACTCTGGGGCCAGCCAGAGGTGGTATTTGCCAGTTCTCTGAACTACTTAAAATTTCCGCTACCGGTTCTCCAGAACCTGTCAGAACCTGCTGGATTTCACCCTTGCTTTAAATGTATCTTTCCTTTCCAAAGTGACTTCTCCATTGTTTGCATGTTTGGAAGTGCAGCAGAAAAAATCTGTGTATGAATAATGTTGCCCATTGTGCTTTAGACCCAGAGCTATAAGTGAGTTGTAGCTGATTAATTTCCTACATTGCAAATGCTGACTCAGGAAACCTCTTGCTGTGCCAAGGTAGAAATGATGTTAGAATCATATTTTTAAAAGTGCTTTTCCTTTATTTTTGTTTGCCATTATTACACTTTCAATATCCCTAGATAAACTCAAGGAAATTAGATCACAAAGTCCTGCATAAATACATTCCATATATTTGACTCACTCCAGATATACCGGATTTCAATTTTCCAACAAATTATTGTAACGGATTGAGTGCTGTTGGAAGTTGAAGGTTCCTGGCATTCTGCAATAGACCTAGCCAGAGAAGATCAATCTCCCTTACCTATTTCCTTCCGCCTTTTATATTCATTGATATTGGCATTGACGTCTGCCATAGCGGTGGCTGCAGCCTGCAGGGCTCCATAGGCACTGTCAGTGCCTGAAATGTTTTCCACAATCTTCTGCAACAACAGTGGGTATTTTGTGATTCGTTGCACTGGCATCACCAGGAAGAAACTCAGGTTTGAAGCACCAGTGTGAGGCCTGATCAAGAAATGCATAAGGATATCAGTAAGAGCATGTTGGGTTCCCTAGAAGCAAACAGCGCCATCTATTGGGATCCAGAAAGCATATTTTTTCTGTCATGGAGCTTATTCTCTGAAATAAGATCCCTCCCCTCTCTGCCCAGAGATCCATATCAACCCCCTATCCTGGTAATGTTTCAGAAAGCCTTCAAAATCTTGACTTTTTCCCCCCGTGTCTTGTGGTGGGGTGCTTATGGAACACTGTAGGCGATATTTTTGTTAGAGGCAGTGGGTTTGTGTAGATGCAGGGATTTTCTTACTGGTTTACCTTGTTTTATTTCTTGTTTTTATTTTATGTAAGCTACCCAGAGTCATTTCGCAATGAGCGTCCTCTAAAGCTCCTAAATAAATAAACATCAGGATGTAAAGCGGCTTTAAATTGTTTCAGCCTTTCCAAATGTGAAACTGAATATTTCATATGTATTTAACAGAGGGCAGGATTTGCCTTTTATATCCCCATTTATTTATTTGATTTACATCTCATTTTTCTTTTGTACACCTCAAGACAGTGTACATAATAATTCTTTTCCCCAATCCGATGAGGTGGATTGGGGTGAGAAAGTGTGCCCCAATCCAGTCATTCCAGTCATTGGCTCCCTTGCCTAAAAGAATACTAGAAATCCCATCTCCCAGTTTCTAGTCCAATACTTTACCCACTACATTATTTTTTATTTGAGCCTACAAAACAAAAAAAACCCAAAACAAAACAAAATCCATGAACCAAATACAATAGCCATCCTCCCTTCATAAAATTCTAAAGTATCTTCTATATCCACTTGATAATCCACCTCCAATTGTTATGCTTGATTTCCAACAAAGTTAAGATGTTTAATCTTTAAAGCCCAATGGTAAGCTATAACCATGCCATTGCCTGGAACATGGGCAATTTGCCATTGTGTGTGAAGATTACAAATTAGCCTTGATTAACAATGCAGGCCTGATGGAAGGTTTCTTGCTGCTGCTGTTGCTGCTGCTCTGTTAAGTTTGGAGGGTTTTTCTGCAGCTGGGTTCTAGTTGGAAGTAGTGGCGGAAAGAAATGTGTAAGCTGATGTCCTATGTATGAACATCCTGTTTCAAAGAAGGCCAACAAGGACAGCAAATGGTACGCTGTTATTTTTGTTGTTATCATATGGCATTGTTACATTAGCCAGGAGACCACAATGCTATTGTAAAGTAGTAGTTCGGTTGCCAATTTACCAGCTCTGTTGTAGGACATGCTCACACACTTCCCAGGGTGAGCCTCAGAAGGCAAGGTGGCTTTACACCAAAAAGAAAGACAAGTGGCTCTTCCTGCAGCAGCATCCAAGGCGCCCCTCCCTTCCCTGGAGCCACCTTGCAAATGGGCACCAAAACAGGGAAGGTTCAGAGTTAGCAGGAATCTGACTGCCTGAATGAAGTGTCAACTCATTTCCTCACCAAAGTGATATCTATTTATCTACTTGCACTGTTAGGTGGGCAGAAGTTGAGGCAACTGACGGGAGCTCACCCCTCCCTGCAATGCTAGGACTCAAACTGCTGGAGCAGAGACCATCTCCAGTTCTATTAAGCAACTGAGCTTTATAACTGTGCCTCTGGTATTCTGTGATACACTCTCTTTGGACATAATGATTCAGTGTCAACACAAATTTGTCTCTAATAGCTTTTGGAGAATGGTTTTAATATTCAATAGCTTTGCTTTGCTCACAGAGCATTACTAGATTCCATTTTTTCATGGCACCTTCCATGGCCACCTTATCTGATGACACTGAATTTCGTAAAGGAAAAGGATAAACTTTGAATCTTGCCATAAATTCATGGAACATCACAATTGCAAGAAACTAATACAATCCAATGGAAATCCAATGGAAAGATGACGTATAGCTCATATTTGCAAATCTACTTGTTCCTCTGCTTTTAAACATGATTCATATTTAGCAAAAGGCCTCTATATTCAAAATTAAATACAAATGGCATTAGTTGACTTGCTTCACGTCCTACTGATTTGTGTGGACCATGGCAGATTTACACCCTCTGGTTTGGATGTGTATTGTGATTCATTTGGAAAAAGAGCTGTCATCTCTCACAGCTATGCTCCCCTACTCAAGTATCTGTTTCAGCAAGCTGAAGGGATGAAGTGATCCAAAGGGCACAGATGCTGCCTATCACTGACTGATGTAAATGCCTTATTAAACCCAGGGCTGTGTTTTTTGAAAAGTAAAAAGGTTAACATACTAAAAATCTGGGTTGTGTGATTGCCACTATCATAAAGTATACTTACACAGTGGTAGTCAAGGTTTCCATAATTTCTTTTTGCAATCTTGGCTCCTTACTATAAATATCCAACAGTAAAAGAGCTTGGTCATAGTCCCCACAATAAATTTTATAGACATTCTCCATTTCTGCTTTGAGCTCTTGGAATAAAGTGCCTACCATAACAAAATTATAAAACCATCAGAATGAAGAGTCCCAAGACATATACGGTATCTTGAAAAGCCTTAATGCATCAAATTGTTCTTAAAATTCATTAATTAGACTCACTTTTATGCAAGTATCACACACATACACACACACACACATATACACATATATGTAAGTATATAGATACAGGAATAACTTTTCAGGCTGATAAAGAGTGTACACATTTGAAGTACAGTGATACCTCAGTACTTATTGTTAACTGATTCTGGGAGGCATGATGAGGAGCAAAAATGATGAATACCAAACAAATTTTTCCCATAAGGAATAATGTAGTGAATCACAAAGTAGCCAGCACAGACAGGTTCTAGCTTGTGCATTGAGTACCAAACAAACAATGAGTACTGGGGCAAAATTTTCACAACAACAATGCATTAAGTACCAAATCTGATGAGTTTCAAAGCAGTTGAGTACCAAGGTACCACTGTATAGCTGGCTAATTATAAAATTAAGAAGCTATCCCTTCACTATCACCCTCCAGGTCGTTGAACGTGCCACACCTCCCAAGGATATTAGCTCACATTTCAAATGTGATAATTGAATTCAGCAGGCAGAGTTTCCAAAGAAACTCTATTCTCCCTTGGATTCCTCCTTTGCCTACTTCTTACTTACCCATCACAGTGCAAAACTCTTCTTATCATTAGGTCTCATATGAGAGATTATATTAGCCTCACTTTACACTGTCTCCTCCTTTATCTACTGTTTTTCACTACCCATTGTTTCTTTAAACTTTAAGATCCTCTGCTTATTTTATCCCCTTAGCCACCCTATCTTTTCATCAGGTTCTCCAGCATTCTTCTCTTTCTTTATCCACAGTATTCCCTGGAGTGCTTTGAAGATGCTTCACAGATGGCTCCTAAATGTCCCCTTTTATGACTCATACCGTGCTGTCCCCAGAATCTGAACTCAAAAAATTAAAAATATCTAAGAAAAAAATACATATTGACTTCCATTTACTTAGCAAGCACAACAGCATTTTACCATTTTTGGAAGTTAAATAATCTCTCTTTAGTCCATAATTTCTTGTATTATCTTGAAATAACTACGCTTTTGGACAATATTCAAAGTAACTATTTTGTTCTGATACAAATAATAAAAGTAATTCTGGAATCACAGAAATAGCTGATTAACTTCAAGCTAAGTAACACTTAGATGATCTTTCAATTCTTGAAAAGGTGATATTGAATCCAGTTTTTAAGACATTAGGCAATCTGACACTGCCTCATAGCACTTGTATCAAAGTTATCAAAGTATTCCTGTTATTATAATAGAATGTATACTGTTGCTTTAATAACAACAGTATTTAAAAACTACCGTATGCAGTAGATACATCATTGTAGATACTACCTACTGATATGAAAAAGTTGTTCTTGGCCCTGGTTCACAGAAGCTTCAAGTCCTTTCAACAAACGTTTGGAAACCTGCAGGACATCATCTATATTGGAGAACAATCCTTCCAGGTCAATTTCAGGCAGCTGAAATAGAGTAGTACAATGTTTCAGTTTCTTTTCCTATTCTACAAGACAAAGATAGTTACTACCTTTTTATAGTGACATTTCTATCCCAACATTGATTCTAAAACCGTAAACATCTATGGGTTGTACGTTCGGACAAATCCCTTTGTATTTCTGTATGCAGCTATATCATGCTGCTTTATTGATCTATGGATTCTTCAGGTGCAGAAGTTGAGAGCACATTGTTGAAGAATGAATCTACAGAATACAATAGATGTACAGCAGGAAGAAACTTTCTCACAACAAGATCCAGTGGTCATTTCAAGCCATATCTCCAATCAGTCAAGGGTTCACCATCCTTACTTGATAAAGAATACATTAACAACTAATATACTCTCTTTCTCTTGCCTTAAACATAATTTCCATAGTATATCCAGTTGAAGATGTTTCTCCCTACACTCTATTTCTTACTATTCATTTAATGGCTTAGTCTACTTTAAGGTCTCAAATTTGAGACAAGCCACTGATGCTTAGTTTCCTTAATGCCTTAAAGCATTGCTATTTATACGAAACAGAAATTCCCTGTTGTAGATACTTTTAAAAAATTATCATAACTCAAGTGCTGATGATTACAGACTATCTCTCTCATTCTCACCTGTTTTTTCTGGAGGTGATCACGGATATCAAAAATGCAGAGCTGAAGGTTGTGTACATAGTTAGCCTCTGTAGTGATGAGCTCATCCATGGCCATTTGGTGATTCAGCTCTGGTTTGTCAGAAGATACCAGAGTTTCATAAATATGCTCATAGATATGTTCTTCATCCTCTGACGGCACCTTGGATGGAGGTTCTTCAGTGTAGTCATTTGCCATATTAGGAGCTACAAAGGCAGAATGAGAAGTTTTGATCATTGTTCATTTGAGCAATAGTCAGGTCAATTCTTAGGTGTATTTTAATAAGAATTTTCCCTTTTGTTTACTACCCTGTTTCTCCAAAAATAAATTTCCCAACTGGAAAATAAGTCCTAGCATGATTTTCAGGATGCTCATAATATAAGCCCTACCCCCAAAATAAGCCCCAGTTAAGATTGTCAATCAGATGGGTGCATTTAGTACCATATTTCCCCAAAATAAGACCTAACCAGAAAATAAGCCCTAATGCGTCTTTTGGAGCAAAAATTAATATAAGACCCAGTCTTATTTTCAGGGCAACACAGTATTACATTTTGAAAATATAAGGAGTTAGCTAACATATACTGGTAACAGCTTATCAAAATGTAAATATTCTTTATCATTCATAAAGGGTTTATCAATTGTAAATATTATTTATCATTCATAGGAGGAATTTTCCAATAGCAAGAATTCTATTGGCGAGTATTTATACTCTGTTGATAGTAAGCCATTTTGTAGGAAGGAAGGAACATATATGTTCAGAACCAATTAATCAGATGTAATAAACTATTATATCAAAATAATACAAGCTTTTAACTACAACAGTTCCCACTGAATCCAAGTTTTTCACTGAGCAATAGATTCCCAATTTTTGTTTTACACCAACATTTTGTTGTAGCTACCCACTGTTTCTGGGTGGTAACCTATAATTTTAAAAACCTTAATTGTTCTTAATTAGTTACTATGAAACTTGAATTTAATTCTAATCAACTGTTTGGGATTCCCAGCAACTCGCCCTATTTATTTACTTGGTCTGTTGTGTGGATATTTGGGTGGCTTAGGGGTGGAAAATTGTGGTGGGTGGGAGTGTGTTTGGGGATTGTTATGTGTGTTGGACCCGGTCTTTGGGTGTTAAGTGAATTTCGTTGTATGAGTATACTGTGTATACATGTACAATGACAATAAAGTTATTTATTTATTTATTATTTTATTTATTTATTAACAGGGGTTGGGGCAAGAAATGTAATATAGATGTGAAACTATTTCTTTCTTCAATAGATTCCTGACTAAAAAGAAGAGCCTCTCCCTGACAGAGTTTTGACCATGTTGTGGTGCAGAATGAGATCTCCTTTCTCTAAGAGATCCTTGTATTAATCAAGCTGTTCTCGTGGTCTGCATGACACTTTCACCCACATTGAATTTATCATTGCACCAATGAGAGAACAGTTACTGTTGAGCAAAAATATGATTTGATGAGAAAAGACCAAGCCACTCCTTGTGACTTTCTTTCATGACCCCCAGCTTTATTCAAAATGACGCCGCTTCACAGATTGATGTGAAAAGGGCTTTTCAAGTTTGAGGAGAGTTCATTGACTCTTCCTGCCATGACATCATACATAATTCTACATAGTGGCTATCATCATCCACATAAAAAGTTAAGCCTGGAATTGATAAAACTGCCTATTAAAATACAGGGAAAGCTGACCATGGTTGAAGGGACATAACATTTCTCAATGATGTTTCTATAAAGCACCTTGAGCCATGCAAATCACAGTTCTGTGACCTTGGATGAAATCATCATTTTAAAATCAATATTGCCTGGAATAGTGAGATAACCTTTAAATTACTTTAACTGATGGATTTTTTTTTAATCTCAGCAATATTCAATTGAATGGTAAAATGCTTTATTTTCAGGACATAATTCCATACAGTACTTATCATTTTATACAGCATTATCATACTATCACTACTAATTTTTTTTTTAATTGTAGTTGTTAATTCACTTAAGTACATTTAAATAAAAAAGGTGAGGTAAACTATCCACTCATTTACACACAGGCTAGACAAACAGAAGTTGTCACTTGCTTGACATACCGGTAGTTTTATAGTTTTAGAAATGATGTGTAAATCTTAACAAATTCAGTTCTTTGTACTTTCATCATCTAAGGTTACATTATAACCCTTAGTTTATTATTTATTACTGCATCAATGAGTGACAGAAATTCTCATCCCAATTGCCGTCATAATACAAAGACATCCTGTAGTATACCTACATTTTTTAAAAAGTTGAAGTTGACTAATAGAAAAGATTAAAATACAAAATAAAACAATTAAAAACACAAGCATATCTCAACAATCACAAATAGAATATTTAAAATGCTAATTATGTAATTTTGTTGTGTTTGTTTTAAATGATATCAATTTAAATAATTGATAAGGCTAAATAATAGAAAAACTTGGATCCTTGTCTAACTGTACAGAACTTCATTGCATAAGAAACAAAAAATTGAGGTAAAGCCATAGATCAGTTTCTTTTTGTGAGTAAAACAAAATAACAAAAAAGTTTTGACTTATTTTCAGGACTGATTTATGATGGCATTTATTTTCATGGACGGGAATCTACTTTATCAAATAAATACATAACCTGTTATTGTCAGATGACAAGCATAGAAAGAGAAAGAAGTGATATATGTTCACTTATATAGTGTCTTTACAGCAAGGTTGGATGCAGAATACTTTTTTACATTAATATCTATCAAGAAGTAAAAGACAAGATTGTTCCATGCCCCTCTCTCCTGTCCTTCAGATTGCTCTCTCTCCTACTTCATTTTCAAGGCAAGTGGGCATCTTGCCAAAGCACTGAGCTGTGGTTGTGCAACATTTATTTTTTTTATGGAATATCTCAAGGATTTATCTCTGATTCCCCAAAGTGTGATCTGCAACCCAGTAGTTGTCCCTCATGGTTAAGGTCAGCTATCTGAAGGATGAAGTAGCCCCATTACAGAAAAGGTTCTTGAGTCCAAGTGATGAGAAAGGGACTCATGCCTTAAGTACAAAATATACCTCGTACAAGAGAATTGTTTTGATAATCTTTCAAGATTCTGTGGCATTATGTTACTAACAAAAAAGAAATCTAGAAAAATCTCCAGAATCCCAATGTTTCTTGCCAACCTCACAGGATTTGACAGGTCTGAAAAGGATTGTACTGACCCAAATGGAACTGTTGCACAACCTGGGCTCCTCCTAAAATCTTAACTCAAGCTTAAAGGATAACCATGGCTAGAAGGGCATTTGCACAATTACATTTTGTTTACCAATTGTGCACATTCCTAGATCAGGAGGTTTTGCTCCCAGTTACTTCCCGTCTGAATTACTGCCTAAATGTCCTACATCACATAGAAATTGCAGCTAGCCCAGCTAGTTCAAAATGTGATACTATCAGGGGTGGGTTCCACTCACCTTTACTACCAGTTTGCAACGGGGCCATGTGTGTGCGCTTGCTTTGCTCACGCGCACATGCGCTCTTCTGCACAAGCGCAGAAGCGTTTTCATGATGTCAGGGTCAGTGGGCGGAGCCTCCCGCCGGTTTTACTACCGTTTCTATAGAACAGGTGCGAACCAGGGGTAACCCATCACTGGATACTATGTGTAGTTATGGGTATGCCTTAGTAATAGGAATAGCTTTTAGCCTTATATACTGCTCCATAGTGCTTTACAGCCCTCTCTGAGCAGTTTACAGAATCAGCATATTGCCCCAACAAAATTGGTCCTTGGAAATAGAGAAAGCCAAAATAATCTTGAACTGGTCAGGAATGAACTCCTGGCAGTGGGCAGAGTTCGCCTGCAATATTGCATTCTAACCACTGCACACTACCATAGCTCCTTGGTCTTGGTTCATCCCTTGCAATAAAGCCAGCTTATGAACTACTCTGGCTCTCAGAGTAGATGCTGGTTGTCATCCATAATGCCTTTCATGGCACAGAATTGATTTATCCATTTGTCTCCTATTATTTTTGCCTGCAAAAATCCAACAAAGTTGGCACGCTTCTGTTCCCCTCAATTAAGCTATGTTACTTGATGGAACCAAAGAAACCTGCCTTTTCTATTGCCATGCCTACTCTGTGGCCCTGATGACTTTCCATAAGGCATTAAAAAGTTGATTCTTTCCATGGGCATTGGGCCAGGATGTTTATGAATCCATTTTTCAGGGGTTATGGATATGTGCATTGCCTCTGGCATGATGTTTCTTTGGGAGGGGTTTGTTGATGTTTTTATTCTTATTTTAACTGTTGTTTGCTAGTTAGAGTCGTATTTCAAGTTGGAGGGAACAAAAATCAAATTAAATAAATCAATAAAGTCACTGTAATGACTCTTTAAAAAATAAAATCACAACCAAGGGACCAAAATTCGTACAGAGATTTTCCATGACTAAAATGTGCCTCTATTTGCTTCTGTATTTCCTCCTAGGTCTCCAGTAGAAGCTACTACTGGCTGAGAATGTCTCTTGCAAATAGCACTGAATTCCGCCTACATGCTGTCAACCCATTTGTGCCTAAAGAGAGAAAGAAGGCTTGGACAGCTAAGTCAGGATGTAGACAGCACAAGTATCAGCTACCTGATTAGGTTATTATGGGAAAAAAGTTGGTATTTCAATTATTCTGTGCCTTTTAAACTATTATGGTTCTATTTATTCATTGCCCAATGTCCTTTAGCTGAATACCCAACTCAATATATATGAAAGCACCACTATGAAAATGATGCCTCGTATTTGAAGGCTGCCTGTAGAACCAGCAGAACATTATTGGCAAAACACCACCTTTCCTGAGCATTTATTGAGGAATGGAGGAAGTGCAATCCCCATTTCTGAAGTAACTCCTGACCTAGATTAGGACTGAGTTTCAGCAGCACCGTGAGAAGGTAAGACACCTATGTTATGTTATCCTTATCACCCAGACCACTCACCAACCATGACCCATCAGTGAACCCCAAGCAATAGAACAAAAGACCACTTATTTTTCTGACTATATTGACATGTTGGAAGATATGAGAAACTCAATATTAAAAGAGCAGGGAAATTCCCCTAAAAGAAATAAGCAGAAACTCAGGCAGAGTTTCAGCCCCCACCTTTATCAATGGGCCATTAAGAAGCTGAAGCCACCCTATTTTCCACAACAAAGGAAGGACAAAATTACAGGCACCTGCAACATCCAAACAGATATGGGACACAGGAAAGAAAAACAAACACCCAAAAAGGAAAAGAAATCAAGCCAAAGTAATTTAAACACATGAGAAAAAGGAGAAAATACAGAAATAGCAAGCTGAATAATTATAGGGAACGAACAACTACAAAGGGCTGGGAAAAACACAGAGTGGACTATAAAACAATTATTTATTTGCCAGATCCAGGACGGAAGAACCCAATCACAAACAAAAACAGGATTTCAACACCATAAAACAATCACACACACAAATCAAAGGATTCACACGCCAAATCAAAAGAATTTCAAAAGATTCTAAAGGATCACATAGAAAATCAAAAGACGTTTTAGGATATAAAAAAGGGTTACTCTTAGAGTTCAAACAGGCTAGCCTCGGAACGCTGTGCTTGTATTAGTTTCTTGCCTGCCTTCCTATAAACAATAAACTAATTCTGCTCTCAAGCAGCTGACCTCCAATCATTGGCGAAGTAATCTCCCAGCCGGGAGTTTTGAATTTAAGAAGGGAAAGCTCTGCCTTCCAACAATCCTTAAAGGGAAAAGCTACTTTTTCCTTCCAACAGACACTTAGGATGAAACTGGCTAGGGTTTCCCTTAGGAAATTGGCAAATATCCACAACTCAATCAAAACCATAGAGTAGACAATCCCCTCAAAATATGGAAACACAGTGTCAGTACCAGCTGCACTTTAACTGCGACATGCTACATTTAATGCAGGCATGTGGTATGTCGATAACGAATGGGAACAAAAGAGGGAATTAGAAATGAAATCAGAAGGAAAAGTGATTGCAATTCAGTCACAAGCAGTTCCTACAACGAAGCTTAGGAATGCCAAACTGGTGTAGTTGTTTAGGGTGCTGGCCTAGAAACCACAAAACTGAGTTCTAGTCTAACCATGAAAAATCAGCCGGGTGACTTTGAATTAACCAGTCTCTCTTAGCCCAAATTCACCTCACAGAATTGTTGTTGTGGGTAAAATTGAAGGAATAAGGAGTATCATGTATGGTTGTTGCCTTAAGTTACTACTACTACTACTACTACTACTACTACTACTAATAATAATAATAATAATAATAATAATAATAATAATAATAATAATAATCACCATCATCATCATCATCATCATCATCATCATCTTACATCCTCCGACGATACCTTAACAGTTCCTAGGTCCTTGGTTAGGACTCGAGCTGCTGAGCTATTAACCAGCCTCAAAGGCTGTGAATCTCACTAAAGATTAAACAACAACAACAACAACAACAACAACAACAACAACAACAACAATAATAATAATAATAATAATAATAATAATTTTATTTCTATACCGCCCTTCTCCCGAAGGACTCAGGGCGGTGTACAGCCTATTTAAAAACACAAGACAAAACATCGATTAAAAATTTAAAATAATTAAATAAATTTGGCTCAATTTAAAACCCCACAAATTTAAAATACCCCAATTTAAAATTATTATGTTGATAGCCCAGCCTGGCGGAACAACAGGGTCTTTGTTAAAAGGAACAAAGAAGGCAGGATCAAAAACATCTACCTCCAGCCCCTCCCCCCCAAATCCATATAGCAATCACAGAATAATTATTAAGAGCTATGAGAAAGATAAATGCTTCACCAACACAGATTCCCCTCTTCTATAAATTCTCAGTAGTATTGCAATACCAGTGAACAGTATCAGTCTGTGGTGAAAAATAATGAAATAAGGCTGCAAATTCTTCCCATGTCCTGTTTCCTTCACCCCCCCCCCCCCCCCCCTCTCTTTCCTCCCCCCCCCCCCCCCCCCGCCTCTGTTTTCTCCTTCTCCCATCTCCTGTTGCAAATTCTTTCCCCCTGTTCTCCTCAGCCATTTCCTGCTTCCCCCCTCCCATTTAAAAGAAAGCTCTCACCTATCTGCCAAAAGGATGATCTGAGCATGGAGTCCCTCAGAATCCAACATGGGTGTTTGGTTCCACTTTGTCACAGAGGTGTGGCTCTCGTTTTACAATAGGAAAAAGATTGCCCCTGTTTAACATCTACCTCACTTCCTGAAAGAAAACTTGCCAGGGAATCAGATCCCTCAGATTTCCTGCCTCTCAGTCCCAGAGTGTGTAAGAATCTCTGCCTTGTTATTGTCTGGGATCCCTCTTTCTTGGAAAGCAGCAAGTGATCCTTGCCAAAAATATGGCCCTTGGGCTCCTTTCTTCCACGGATAAACTGTCCCTGACTGTCACAAACTTCTGACTCGAGGCTTAAAAACAGTCAAGAAAACTATATCTGTTAAAAAATGGAAACCTTTTTATCTTCTTTTTCATCTGTCATCCCTGGAGGAGGCTTGCTGGGAGATTTTTTTGAAGCGCATACATGTTGTTTGCCACAGAAAATAGTGAATAATGCTGATTGAAAATGTATATACCCCCTTCTATTGTTCTATTTCCTTTCAGCTGGCAGAAAATTAGAGGAACTTAAGACAGATAAAGAAAATTGTTCCTGAATTCTGTTTAATTGTTTCAAATGAAAAGAAAACACTCTGACTAAAATTTCCAACCAGAATTCCTGTTTTCTCTAGAATGCTTTCCTATTGTACAGGGTAGAATTTGTATCATCCAGAAGTTTGGCTTCTGTCCAAAAAACTCTGCATGTTTTCAATCTGTTAAAGGAAAAGTTTGCATTTTCCAAAGTCCTTTCCATATACTTTCATTAAACAACAACACTTCTGCATTGAGCTTGCTAGTTTATCTGTAACAAAACCCTGGTTTAGAAGAATCAACAGCACATTTGGGACTAATGAGAAAAAGTCTGATGAAAGCAAAAAGATATGTGCCATGAATAGTTTTGACCTTTCTTGGAGAAACTAACCAATGTTAGCCTATAAATTAACATTTTAAAAACAGCTTGTATCATACTCTAAAACTTCAAACATCTACATTTTTAACAATCAATAATATTATTTGTCACATATTTAACATTTAAATAAACAACTCCTCAATCTGTTTTATTCCAAATTGAAAACTCTTGATGATCTTGTTTCAAAAGCCTGATCTTGATGGTATGATTTTCATCTATTTGCCAATTGCTAACTAAAGGGCAGGATGCATTGCTGTGTTTGGGGTGTGATAAAGGAGGAGTTGGCATATTTGATCCTAGAACATATAAGTTCATCAAAAGACAGAAGACGCCACTCCAGAAAGAGAACAATGTGTAACAGCCAGGAAATCAATATTTGTGGGAGCAACAGAAAGAAGCATAGTCAGCTAAGAGCTATGTGCAAGCGAAGGAAAAACAGTCTATACTATAGTCTGAGATAAAGGGTGATTCACTAATTTGGAATTACCAAGAAAGAGAGACAGTAAGAGAAACGAATCTACAACATGAGCCAGCAGGCTGAAAAAAAAAAATACTCTGTCCACAGATTGGGAAAAGAAAATTGAAAGTGAAAGCAGTTTAAGGAAAGAGGAAAAAAACTATCTACAGTACTTAAAAAAGCAATGTCAGAAATAAAAGTAGAGATTTTAACTCATTTATTTATGAAAGAAACTTATATGGTCACCCCAATGTATCAGGACGCTGGTATTGTCACAATGACAATAAAAATGTAAAAGAAACAATTTAAAAAATAGAATCCACACCCTCCAAAAAACAACAGCATAACAAGATCATTTGATCTCAGGCCACAAAGTTAAGAGGAATTATGGAAAATTCTAGAAGTAAACAGGCTCATATGAAACTATCTCGATTGCAGGAAATTAGTATAAGATAGGGTTGTTTATGTTAGTAAAGTTGACATATTGCCTGTGCATCTTTGAAGCAACACATAGGATACTTCAAAGGGGAAATTTATACCACCTTGTCTGTCCTGCCTTTCCAGATATCTGAACAGGATATGCTAACTTTTTAATATTTGTATATACATTTGTTGGAGAGGAAAGGATCATAAGTCAGTAAACACACAGAGATTGGGAGGTATATGCTAGCACCAGCTGTTTGCCTACGATACTTGCTGTGGAGAGCAGTTAGGAGGCAAAAGACTTCAGGGTATAATTGATTAACGTCTTGTCAATTGTTAACTTGCTGTTAGCACTGTTGCTGTTGGGACATTGTTTCTTAATCTCAGCAATTTTAAGATGTGTGGATTTCAGCTTCCAGAATTCCCCAGCCAGATCAGGGGAATTTTGAGAATTGAAGCCTAGACATCTTAAAGTTGCTGAAGTTGAAAAATACTGTATTAGGAAAGCACTGCACAGAAAAAGGATTCAGTTAAATACTCAAAAAGCCAGACAATATTTGATTTTTAAGGCTATGCCTTCTGGTTGGAGGACATGAGGGCATGTCCTCCATTCCAAACTGAACCCACAATAAAGCAATTATTAGCGCTCTTGTGAAGTAACTAGAGAATGGTATTTGTATACTGGTCCCTATCTTAATGTAAATGAAGTGGGCTCTGATAGATGACCACTGGATAACTTTCTATTCACTCTATTCTAAAAAGCAATGCATCCGGTTGGAAAAAGTACAAACTCAGCCAAAATCCTTTTGGTTCCTCTAGGAGGCCTCTAAGTTGTCAGAAGAAAGAAACATTCTAATGACATACAGCTTAAAGGTTGGTTAGGTCAAGGGGATCCACATGAGTTAAAAGTTGTCTTATCGTCAGAAGATGATTTGAGTCTATGCTTCAGTAATCTACAAAAAGAATTATAACTGTTTTGCAAAGAAACTCAGTAATTAGGAAATGTCAATTAAAAATGACAAATGTATATGACCATATGAATTGCTGAGTTAACAGAATCCTTTGTCTAGAAGGGTATAAAACCATTGTACCTAATTTCTGTCTTTGTTCAACGCTTCATGTACAGAGCTTTGAACCTATTGCGCAATATACAAATTGTCTCTGATTAATCCAAAAGTTGTGTTTGTCTTATTAAATCCACAACAATCTGGCCATGCTTTGTTAAAGGGATAAAGAAGATGGTAGCTTCTCAGCTGCAGGCAGTTCTGTAGAAAAGAGATTGTCTTCACCAATTTCAAACTGGCTTCAGAGCAGGATAGGGATTGAGAATACCTTGGACATACTAATGGATAAAGTTTGGGACTTGACAAAAGAAAAGTGATCCAGTTGATTTTTTTTTTCTTTTCTTTTTTTTTTCTTTTTTTGGTCTCAACAATTTACAAAATCAATAATAATATTCCTTTGGATCACTTAACTGACTTGGGAATAGAAGTATTGTTGCAACAGTTCTGCTCCCATCTCTCAGACAGATTTCATATGGAGTCTTCTGGAAATGGTCTGTGAAGTGGCAACTAGTACAATACTGTATATATCACAAGACTCCATTCAATCTTCAATACTTTTCAATATCCACAATAACTGGTGGTTGGCATATATAGCACTTCATTTGCATCTTCTCATTCTAAGAGCACACAATTCCACACAAAATCTGTCAATTTTCAGCAACAATTTTCTTCAGCAGTCACTTTTTCTTTTTTCCAAATTAAAAGTGAGAAATAGGAGACCTGCTTCCATTATCATTTTAACTTTCCCACACCCAAATGAAATGGAAACTGTTTTCCAGAAGCCTCCATTTTAATTCCTGTCCACTCAGGAATCAAAACAAAAGGAGATAAATACTGGTCTCATCCATTCCAATGATGCCATCATGGCTTTTAATGGATTTGCAAATGAAGGCAAATACATGTGTCCCAGGATTGCAGGATCCAATCTGAGTCAGTCCCCTGGACCAGAGGTTTATTCTTCCAAGCTGTCAGACTTGTGCTGGAGTCCATCCCCACGGACCTTCAGAAGTCTCCAAAATGTATGCATTGGTCTGTTCTATTCATAGTATTTATGTGGTACCTGACTGTGTGTGGTTTGTAGTTGGTAATTGGGATGTTAATGGCCAGCTATTAAGTCATAGCATTCCTGGAAGTTGGGAGACAGAGTTTCAGACTTTGATTCATCAATGATTGCCTACTTCTAGTCTAATGGTAGTATCTGGGGAAGCTGTTCATCGAGGGCAAGGATATAATTGTAATGACAGAAGATTTCTGTAACATTTTCAGTTAATGGAGTAACTTTTCTGAATGCTTGCCTGCATTCAACAATGGGTTGAAAGAGAGATTAAAAAAAGAGTCTGAATCCAGAAAAGATCAGGATGCTTATTAGAATGTCAAAGAATGCAGAAAAGTAATTCTGAATGGAATTATGCTGTTCCACAAGAAGCTAAAACACAGCCTGAGGATGCATCTGGATCTGAAACTTGATCGCTTTTTCATTTTTCTAATTGAAACAATGTCCAGGATCATTTTTTGATTAGCTGTGGCTGATATGCCACATGCATCCTTAAAATGATTTTGAAACAACATAGCACACACCAGCGAAGTATGTAACCTCTAAGATTAACTATTGTGATATGTTCTGCTTGGGATTGTCCTTGTGTCTAATCTGGAAATTTCAGATGTTATAAAACTCATCAGTTAAAATGGTTTCTGGAATTGCTCAAAGACACATTGTAGTTATTCTATAAAGAGTGATACCAATTTGTTTCCAAACAAGTGTAAAATGCTATACCTTAGAGCCAGGTTACTAGAGAAGATTTCTCTTATCTATAATTCTTATCCTTCCTTTCTTTGAGGTTATCTGAGGTGGTTTGTCTACAATTGCTATGGTCAATTTTTACAGAAAGTCATGGTTTTTTTTGATTTTTTTTAAAAATTTGATTTATATGCCACCCTTCTCCAGAGACTCAGGGCGGCATACAATGTGTTAAGCAATAGCCTTCATACTTTTGTATATTTATACAAAGTCAGCTTATTGCCCCCACAAACTGGGTCCTCATTTAACCTACCTTTGAAAGGATGGAAGGCTGAGTCAACCTTGGGCCTGGTAAGATTCGAACTTACAGTAATTGCAGACAGCTGGTGTTAATCACAATGCTTTTAGTCTGCTGAACTACCAGGCCCATTATGATTAAGTTACCGGTAGCTCTAAAGCAGGAGTGTCAAACTCAAGGCCCGGGGGCCAGACCCAGCCCACGGGATACTTAGATCTGGCAGTCCTAGAAACAGCAAAGAACTGGCCGGCGGTGCCTCTGCCAGCAAAAACAGAGCTTGGGAGGGTTGTGTGCGGCCCTCCCAGGCTCCTTTTTCAGCTGCAATGG